CTAGAATTATAATCAAATTAACCCTGAACAAGATTACTAATTATCTTATTAAGCATAATGGTTCGAAATTGATTCTAAAAGAACCTATTTCACCATTTAAAAATACAAATTCTCTTTAAACATGCATAAAAGGTGTGATCAAGCAATAACAATAAAATATAATCAAGCAGCATAAAAATCATCAAAAATTATTATAATCAATAATCATGTTAAAGCATAATAATAATAGCAAGATCCTAGGAATAATACTAACAAGATTGATAACAAAACCTAGCATGTCAGTAAACATAAAAAATCAAAGCCTTAACCCTAACATGATACTAACATGAATATTAGAAAAGAAAATAGGAAATATCACAGATATCATAATAAGCATATTTGATATTATAACTTTTACCCTAAACATGATATTAGGAATCATTGTTGTCATTCAAAACATCAAATTAAGGAAAGCATCCTAACATGATACTAGGAATCATAATAACAACCTAAACATGATTTCTAAGAACTATAAAATCAATAAATCAATTAAAGCACTTACTTGGATGACTCGTATCTCTTTCTAATAACAAAATACACGCGTTATTAACTTCAAGGAAATTAATAAACAAACAATTAAATTAAATAATTGAAAGAGAGATTTGGAACCAAACCCTGAGAAATCAAAACCTTTCACGTCTAGGGCGAAGCCAACTTCGAATATGGATAGGTGTGTCTAGTGTATGAGGAATTTTGTTTGTAAAAAAGCTAGGCTTAGAAAGAGAGAGAGAATCAAGAATTTCTTGATGAGAGTTGGTGAGAATTGGTGATATTTTATGATTGAAAACAGAATTTTAAGAGGCTATTTATAAAGAAAATCAGCGAAAAAGATAGAAAAAACGAATCAGAGTTTCGACGAGAATAAAACTCGATTGCAGCATCAAACAGCGCGTGGCGCCAAACGCTGGACTCTAGCGCAAGACGCCAGGATTGGCGCCAGACGCTGGAAAACAGTTTTTGCGGATTTTGTTTTTATCATATCTTTTGATCCAGAAGTTCAAATAAGTCATATAATATGTCGTTGGAAAGCTCTTGAAGTCTACTTTCCAACCCAATTAGAATCAGATAAAAATCTTTTGTAGATAAAAAGATATGGACGCAATAGAGGAAGGGTATCAGTTTTGGATAGAGTTTCATGTCTCATTCATATCTTTTTCGTTATAACTCGGATTTAATATCATAATGTATCATTGGAAAGATAATTTCAAGATCTATCCAACCATATAAGATTTGGATAAATATTATGAGGCACGAAAATAAAATCTGAATATATTCCACTTCGTACAAAACAAGGATTCCCAAAAGGAGTAGTTTTATTCAATTTCAAACTCTTTAAAACATAATAATCAATTCTAACTCCATTAGGATTTAAGAGAACTTTCTAGAGTATTCTAAAAGACTATAATCAATCCTAATAGCTTTAGGAATGATATTTAATAATAGGCCCTCCTCTAGATCATTGGGCCGCATATAAAAACCAAATCGGGCCCAATTTAATATTTTGGTCATAACTTCCTCATTATTCATCGGAATTGGGCTTATAATATATCGTTGGAAAGGTCTTTTCAAACCCCATCCAACTACACCATTATTGGACCCTTATCATGGACCAAACTAAAATGGAATGCACGTTTTTCATAAATAAGGTAAGAAAAGAAATATTTTCAAAAACAGAAAGAAGAGATATTTTAATAAAAACATCCTCATCACTAGAATTTTCACACTTTCGCTTTATTCGATAATCAAATGACGTAAAAGGTATTCATCACTGAGTTTGGTTTTGGGGAGACACAAATGGGTGTCTACACCTGGCATGACACATAAACCCTAGAAAGTGCCTCAAACATCAATTGAAGTAGGGCCATTTGATAGGTGCAAATTCCTACTGCCTAACCGGAAACAATACGAGGACTAACACCATTTTACACATATATTGCTGATAGCACATATATGGTCGAAGCATAGCATGCTGGGCTTCAGACACAAACTTGGAATAGTGCCGAGGATTTAGAACCATGGCAAATTCGTCAATGCATTCAACACTAAGATCTGAAGGCAAAGAGAAAACAAAATCTCTCTGTCATTAAAATTGGGAGGCATATCAATACCAACCTCGTTAATTTTATGAAACCATCGTACCACAACCATCCTGTTTCCTTTCACATCTTCATACATATCATCCAAGTAGGCTAAAAGTCTTTAGTTCTTGTCAGCCAATACACAAACAAACTGATTAACCTATTAATAAAGATTATAGAATAATGTTAAACTTTGCAGAATCGCACAATATTTCAGATGAATACAAACAAGAATGTGAAATATCCAAGCAGATAACATAAATAAATCTCACCATGACAGCTTTCACTCCATTACGATGGAAAGCTTTATAGTGCTTTCTCTTCTTTTTGCATATCCATTGGGAAACTAACCATTGTAACTCTTTGATATGATGACCTAGATTCTTTAGTTGGATGGCCTTGACAATAAATATATATATTAGAATATAAACCCTAGTAAAAATTCAAACATTAAACCACTTACGACATCATAAGTAACTAAAAAGTCTCAAGATAGGTACCTTAATTGTTTCTATATCTAAAACATCAGGTTCACTTCCATCAGAAGACCAACCACTTAATTGGGGAGTGACAGAAGTTTGTGATTCTGTAATCAATCGTCAGATAAATTACAATTAACATTGATTTGAATAAGACAACATTCACAATAGTTAAAAGAGAAGAGAAAACATCACACCAAACCAAATAAAGCCACTCTATCCTAACAAGTGATTACTGAAACACAACATTCATCTGAGAGCTACATACCAAAAACAAGAGGCTATAATTAGCAGCAAAATACACAAATGCAGTTTTGATGTAGGAGGAGAGGCAGGAAGAAAAAAAAAAACATTTAGATCATAACCTATAAATGATGAGGGCATGAGGATGCCAATGCTCTCAACCAGCTCTTAATCCTGCAGCCCAGATCATAATAAGCTATTATTAAGCGCAAGTCAAGGGCTTACATAATAAGGAAGCAACTTTTAAATAACACCTTAAAACGGCAACACAAAAGATAATGGAAACATTCAAGGAGGGAATTACTGAACAAATTGAAGATAACACATAAAACCATCCTTAAATCTGTAATAACTTAACTGCAATACCAGATCACAAACAAAAAGAACTTGAACCTCCTAAAAAATAGCTCTAAACTTCAAAACAAATATTAACAGGATTTCCAATTCAATCAACTCGATAAGCAATCATACAACTAATAAAAACAACAGGATTTTTAATCAATTAACTCAATATTTGCTAAGCCAATTAAAAGAATAGAACCAACAGGAATCCACATCAATCAAGCCGAGATAAACTATCCCAATATAAAAGAATAGAATCAATAAGTTTTCAATGAAAATAACTTGAGAGTGCAACCATTCAAAAGAATAAACCACCAGGAATCATAAAAACTGAACTCAATAAGCAATCAACAAATTCATAAAAATAAAATATTAAGATAAAAAAAACCGACAAGATTATAATCTAACAATCTAAAAAAAAATCAAAAACACCATAATCACATATACCCACCAACAAACATATAACCATTTAAACAATGAAAATAATACTTTGTATAGTATATCACAAAAATAATAACAGATCAATTGAAATAATTATCGCATATAATTCAATTCAATTCTAATAAACGCTCCTGACAAACATTTTAACTATAAGATCTGATACCTCATCCCCCAAATCTATCTATTCCTTAAAAAAAATTACTCCTAATTCTTAATTCTTAAACATTCTCTGAGGAAAATGTAATACTTCATTTTTTTTTTTTGAGGCAATACTTCATATTAATTTGTTGAAAATAAAAAGGGAAATCTTAGAGATAAGATAAGGGCCAAAAAAATAAAGGATTCAATACCTCAGCATAAAAAATTCAACACGGAAATCCCTTTATTCAGCTCACCTCTCTAGTCTAAAATCAAGGCAAAAGATTCAATCTTTAGCAAATTTACTCTGCATTTTTAGGGGAAATAAAATATTAATAAGCATCTTCAAAAGACATGTATTAGGACCCTTGTAAACTTCGTTAAAAGGTTTTCATTATACTGCTTCGCATAACCTACAATTATTCCCTTTAAGTCTAATATAGCAGTGCTTCACAAAAAAAAAAGTCCAATATAGCAGTAAACATTAATGCAAAAACGAGTGTACCTTAGATACTTAAAGGTGTTAGAAAGATTTTTCATTTAAAATATCAACACTATTATATGTTGTTCAAAAAATTAGTGTAATAAAACTGCACTGTCTACTATTAGTTCCTCATACATAGTTAAACTATTTTATAATGGCCTCTCTGTCAATTTGTTTACATGAAGCCCATCTCTAATCAGGTTCTGTTTTTCAAGTGATTATTTAAGGTCTATATTCATGGGGCCATGGCTGAGATGCAAAGAAAAGGTTTTCGGCCACTGGAGAGGGAGAATAGCTATAATGTCTTTCTCAACGACATCTACCACGATAGACAAACATGAATTTTAATATTATACTAAAATTTGCAGACATTAAAAAAATGCCCATTAGAAGATTCAATATGTTAATATGCTTCTCTGTCCATTGTCCAAAAATTTATATGCCTCTCTCCCCACCATATATATTTACAGTCTATTTCACTTCTCAAAACCTTTTAATCAAGGATTTCTCAACTTTCATATAGATTGTTATAAAGAGCTTTATGTTAGTGTCAACATCATCAAGTTATTAAGGAACTATTGAGGTAGACAGTCTATATGCCCTTGTTGATATTAGGACACTAGCCGTGATATTTTCCTTCCTTACTAATTCTTAAAAGTCAGACGCACATAAGCATGCAAAATTCAATTGAATTTCGTTCATCTTTTCTCCCAAAATTTTAAGTTTTCGATGATTAATTTAAAAGTTTAAGAATAATAAACATTCAAATAAGTTATATGAGCTCACTTAGATTCAGTAGGATCACTCCAAGAGAAAATCAGAACTGTTCAAACAAGGCTGTCAAGATATACTTCATAATTATGATAGAACAAAAGCTGGAATTTTGATAAGAAATCTTTACTTTAGAAAATTTTTTGGAGTCTATTAATTTGTACTGAGAAAACACTGCTTATTCAGAATATAGGCTTCAGTTTGTCAAGACCTCCAGTTGAGACAAAAGAATCTCTTTCAGTAGCTGAAGGAGACTGCTCCCGTTTATGCTCTGCCTGTGCAGCAACTTTTGCATCATCTTCTTTCAGTCTAATCCTTGCAGCATGGCGATTAGGGCACGAGGATCCTCCCCCTTGGTCCCAAGAATCCCAACTGCACCAAGGAGGTCATCCAAAGCGCTGAAATGGGAATCATGACCACCAGTAACATCCCTCATATACAACCGATAACCAGCATTCTCCCTTTCTAAGGCAACTTTGTCTAAAGTATCTTCTTCATCCCGCAAGATCAAAAACCCATAAGTGAGTAGACTGGCATAAATGCAAAATATGTTATTTTTGAAATTGTCCAGCAATGATCTTGTAAGAGCCACAATTCAACAATCTCTTTTGAAAAGCAGCCAAAAATAGAAACAACAATATAAAAACCCCCAAGAAGATTAACTACATTCAATAGAATTAAACTCTATAATTTCCTACCACCACTGAGCTAAGAAATTAATCAATAGCATGAGGAAAATGAAACAGCCTGCAATTATAGTTCCTTACTGCCTCAAATTCCAATCGAAATAGGGGCAAATGATCGGTGCAAATTCCAACTATCAACAGCTTGAGGGAACTAAAAAAGGCTGCAATTATAGGATAGTTCCTAACTGCCTCAAACTTTAATTGAAGTAGGGGCAAATGATCGGTGCAAATTCCTACTGCCTAACCAGAAACAATACGAGGACTGACACCATTTTACACACTATCGCACCCCTAAACACTCAGCAAAAGGACCTAATAACTTATTCTACGTTGACAGGAACAAATATTAACAATTTTATCAGTCCTAAAACATACAACATATCAATAACTACAAATCAACATCTACAAGAGAAACTGCATTGTCATAAAAACAATCAAAAGACATAATCAATCATTCAATACAAAATTCTAAACAATTCATCTCACATTAATTAAACTATAAAACTAGCAGGAAAATCTGAAACACAAACAGTTTAAAATGTGAAAAAGCTCCAACAAGAACAGTAGTAAACAAACGATCCCTAATAACAGGTTTATGCCTCAGTGATATTCTAACTGCACTCAGAAATCAAAATAAATATATAAAATAACCAAAATTAAAATCAACAAAAACCCAGAAAAAATCATAAAAATTAGATGAAAAAAGAGGGAATTACTGAGAACAAGATCTCTAAAACGCTTGTGAAGAGGAAATCGCACCAAGTAATAGCGCAATTTAAATTCTTCTGCAAAATTGAGCTCGGATCCCTAATCGGCTAATCCTTCTTCCCTTCTCACCTAATCAACTCCAAACAATAAAAAAAAATCTAAATGAAATCGCAAAAGCTCAAAAAATAAATAAGAACTAAATCAAAACAAAAATCGAAAAAAGGTGAAATTACCAAAAACGGCTACGCACCATTAGCAAAGCTCTCTAATGAGAACTTCGTGGAGTTTGGTGTAGAACTGTACACAAGAGAGCGGCGATTTGACTTCAATACTTAGGGGTTAGCAGAACAAGAGATAATTAGGCGGTGAAATTGGAGGTGAAAATGAAGGGAGGTTCACCAATGGCTGTAGGAGAGAGAAAATGGAGGTAAGGAGAGTAAAGTTAGGGTAAATTCGCCATTGAAGGAGGAAGAGAGAAAGAGAGAGAAAATTATTTGTATCGGACAACTAGTGTCCGTTACAAATAATGCACTTTTTTTTGTAACGGGCATTATTTTGCTTGTTACTAATAATATTTTCTGTACCATTAGGCTGTTTTATTGTAACGGACCGTTACTTTGCCCGTTACAAATAGGCTCATTGTAACTGGAAAATTACTGCCCGTCACAAATAGGGTGTTACAAATGACATTTTTTCAACTAGTGAAATAAAGGTGTGCTTGTACGAACTTATCTCGGTCAGGTGACATTCGTTTCGACCTAATTGTGCCATGACCATCAAGTCTCCCTTCATGTCTAGAAGTAGTGTAGACAACCATTTGTGTCTCCCCAAAACCAAACCCGGTGATGAGTACCTTTCACGTCGAATCATAATCGAATGATGTGAAAGTGTGGAAAGTCTAGTGTTGCGGATAGTTTTAATTTCTTTTCTTTTCTCTCTATTTTTGAAAACCTATTTTAAGAAAACAGTCAATCCAGTTTTGCTGGTCAATGTTATGGGTCCAATAGTAGTGTAGTTGGATAGGGCTCAAAAAGAGTTTTCTAACGATATATTATAAGCCCAATTCCGATGAATATTGAGGAAGTTATGGTCAAATTACTAAACTGGGCCCGGTTTGAACCTTGTATGCGGCCCAATGATCTAGAAGAGGACCTAATATGGATTTATCATTCCTAATGCAATTAGGAATGATTTTGGTCTTCTAGATTCTTCTAAAAGGTTTTATTCATTCCTAATTCAATTAGCATTGATAAATTGACTTTTGTTGACTTTTTAGGGTGTTAATCAGAATAAAAGAGTGTTTTTGAAGAAAATACGATTTTATCCTCCTGTAATGTTAAATTCTATCTTATTTTAGAAAACGCGTCAAAAGCCTGATTAGCGCCTAACGCCAGCGTTAGCGCCTGGCGCTAAGCTTGGCGCGTGGCGCTAGCATTAGCGTCTGGAGCTAATGTCAGGCGCTAACTCCGTTTTTTTCACGTCAAAACTCTGGTTCAATTTTCTATCTTTTTGGCTGATTTTCTCTATAAATAGCCTCCTAAAAAGTCTGTTTTCAAGGACGAATTCTCATCAATTCTCATCTACAATCATCAATTCCTTAGTTCTCTAATTCTTTTCTTTCTCTCGAAGCTAGAAGTTTTCTCTCTCTCTTTTCTAAACCAACCCCTTTTTACAAAATTTCGCATTCACAAGACCTAGAAACACCTAGCATAATTCGATGTTGCCTTCGCCCTAGACGTGAAATGTTTAATTTCTGAGGGTTTGGTCCCAAATCTCTATTTTAATTATTTAATTTAATTGTTGTTTATTATTTTCCTTGAAGTTACTAACGCGTGCATTCTGTTATTAGAAAGAGGTACGAGGCATCCAAGTAAGTGCTTTAATTGATTTATTGATATTATGATATAGAAATCATGTCAAGGTTGTTATTATGATTCCTAGTGTTATGTTAGGGCGTTATGATCTTCCTAATATCATGTTTAGGGTAACAACTATAATTTCTAATATCAAATATGACAATTATGATTCCTGCGATGCTTCCTATATTCTTTCCTAATATCATGTTAGTATCATGTTAGGGTTAAAACTTTGATTTTTATTGTGACATGCTAGGGTTTGTTATTAATCCTGTTAATATCATGCCGAAGATCTTGCTATTATTATGCTTTAACATGGTTATTTTAATAATGGTTATTATGATTTATTATGTTGCTTGATTATATCTTTTACGCATGTTCAAAGGGAATTGGTACTTGTAATCACTCTTAATAAGATAATTATTAATCTTGTTTAGGGTTAATTTGATTATAATTCAAGTGATCGCCAATAATAGTTTTATTTGTGCATTAATATATAACCAATATAGATAAACAGGTTTAGGGTAAACCTATTGATTGCATGTTAGTAGAAAGCGCACATGAATACGATCAGAATAAAGTAGAGGCCTATTATTAGGGCAGGTTCAATCTCTTTTAGGTTGGATTTGTACCTTCATCCCCGAACTACTAGTCATGGTTCCAGACATATTGGAGTTGACGATCTCCTGGATCGTTAAGGAGTATAACCTTCACCTCGTGAACGGTTTACAAGTTCCTAAAACTTGTTGGCGACTCTTTTGCTCTATCTTCTTTCCCTTTGGACGCCTCCGTACTTTAGTGTATGATCACAGTAGGGTTCAAGCTAGGGGTAATGCTTGAAATATTCCCTACAATTTTTGGCGACTCCACTGGGGAGGATTTCTATTTTAATTCCTGAAATTTATTTCGGCAACGATTTAGAATGAGTGGATGAGACTCCAAAAGTTCTAAATATTTCATGTGCGTAATTTTGATTAACATTATTGTCATATGCATAAAAAAGATCTCATTGGAAAGACCATCCGTAATGAGTTAAAACATAGGATTTTTACACGTTAGAAATTTGAGAAATATCTTTCACAACTAGGATTGAAATAATGCTGCGCGAAACTGGGAAATTTTATCGAGCACATAAAGCTGCTGAGGCATGTAGGAACTAGTGTCAGCTAACAAAGATTAGGGCCAACGTTTTGACGTTAGCGCCAGGCGACAGCTTCTGTCGCCAGGCGCTAAAGCCAAAAAGTGGTGCTTGCCTCTGTTTGCTGGCGCCAAGTTCTTCCAATACCGAGCCAGAAATATGCGTTCTAATTTCGACCAGTTTTTAGCATTGTTTGCTCGATCCTACTTCCTGATTAAGTTTTTCTCACTTTTCTGAAACCCATATGTGTTCTACATATGGACATAACCCTCTGGGAATTCATGCTCCATCTACCTAATTGAACGCTCTGAGCAACAAAGGGTACATCCGAGAATGTTGAATTCACCAAACCATGGAAGCAAGTTTTTCTAAACTCGCGGTGTCCCATCCACTCGCGCCAAACCTTCATGGTTAGGCTTCCACGCGGTTCATCCGGACAATTAACCATGGACCCTCTATTGACTAACCCATATCCCAAACTTTAGAGAACTAGAGCCATGGTTAGGTTGCAAACTCATTGCATCATGATGTGTCTACTTGAATAAATGTGCACTATTGGTTGTGCATACTCTATGTGTTTTTCCTAACCGTTTGTTTGACTTGTGCTAAGATTAAATAAATTAATTCATGACTAAAAGAACTTTCCCTAATTAATTAATTAATTAATTAATTTGAGGAAATAAAGACTAATATTTAATCAGAGTTGACTTAGTACGACTTTAGGCATACCCCTGTAGAGTAATAATACTGAAAACAGTTTCAGATCAACGCTCCAGTAATGGCGCCAAAATTTGAACTGTAGCGCCACTTTGTGGAGTGTAGCGGCTGGCGATAATCCTGTCGTCTGGCGCTACACTGCAAAGAGAGGCGCCAGTCCTATCGTTTTGACGACAGTTCGGTTTATTGCTTGAGTCATCATCTTGTGTCTAATTCAACATTTTGCTAATGTATTCAGTTAATTTTTACTGCTAAAAATACCTTGGCAAGGCATTAATTGAGTCTAAGCACTAAGTCTCATGGTCTTACACAAGAGTCAAAGCATGTCCACATAAAGCACACACTAATACACACTTCTGACCATGTCTAAGGGAGTCTTGTATGCGCGTTTTTTTGCCGTCATTTTTTTTAGGGGGTAAGTCGGATATTAATCCTCCAAATAAATTAACTTATTTAAACCCTATACTTAATCTATACCTTATTTTTGCCAAAAATATGCACCTACTTTTTTTATTTTTCTCTTTTAAACCGTAAAGTCAAGGTCAATTTGCGTCAAATAATTAAAACAAAAAATGGTTTGATTTACAGCGTGTGGTCAAGAAAAGAAGGGTGTTTAATCAAAGACAACCTTTTTATCCAAGTCCAACTTTTCAACAAACCCATTGCTCGTAAGAGGAAAGCTAGAACAATAATGGCAACTCAAGAAGAAGTCAATGAGCTCAGGAACCAACTGATTACCATGACTGAGGAATTAAAGGTTCTAACCCTCAAGATTGATGTTCCTGTGAAACAACAAGAGATGGAACTCATGCAAGAGAGTCTGAGCAAGCTATCTAGCAACTACAAGTTTCAAGGGATTCGCTCACAAGGGGTCTCGGTGGACAAGGATCTCCTTCCGCAGAAGTTCAATGCCAACGACATCCCAAAATTCAAAGCAACTGATAACCCTTACTTTCATTTAAGAGCCTTCAAAACAATAATGAGTATTAAGGGTATCGACAAGAAAGTGATTCCCTCTCTGTTCTCACTTTCTCTCGAAACCGTTTGCCGACAATGGTTCTTTTCTCTTGAGAAAGAAAGAACCTCCACTTGGGAGTCCATAGTAAACACTTCCATTGATAGATACAAATGCAATATTCAAGTTGAGACCGACTATAGGGAACTTAAAATCCTCAAACAGAAGGAGAATGAAGGTTTCACCACTTTCTTTAACAAATGGAGAGAAACCTCAGCTAAGATGATTGAGGTACCAAGCGAAAAAGAGTCCGTAAGGTTATTCATCAAAAACCTTGAAGAAAAGTACTCCAAGCATCTCAAATATCAGAATAATCTCCATACCTTCAAGGCCGTCTATGACATTGGAATTAATATTGAAGACGACCTGGCTAAGTTGAAAGCTGCCAACAATAACTCCAACAATGGCTGGAAAGGTAAGAAGAACGACAATCCTTCTTCTTCCAAAACCACCTACTCAAACAGTGTTAGCACTTTTAACTTAAGTGAAGTCCTTGCTAGGAATAATCAAGGACAAAAGAAACCATTTAGGAGGAACTTTACTCCTATTGACATGACTTATGACACCGCATTTGACCGATTAAATGCAAAAGGTCTTATAACTCCTATTGGACCATTTGGGAACCCACCAGTCGAGAAAAGGACGCGAACTGGAAACCCCAATGCACATTGCAAGTATCACCAAGGTAGGGGCCATCTTACCGAGAACTGTTGGAAGCTTAAAGAAGCTATCCAAGACTTAATCGACAATAGCAAACTACCATTGCCTCCTACCAGTAAGAACCCAAGATTTGATAATGCACCTCTTGCTCACTCCTTGG